GTGGGTCGCGTTTCCGATCCAGTGGTAGATTCTGTGAAGCACGGCTCTTGCTAGGGTTCGTGTTAGCAACGTCGTCAGGTTTGAACCCCGTGAACTCACCTACTAGTTAAGGTTCCGCTGAAATAGCCTCTCAAGGCTATCAGCTTAGATAGGAAAAAAGAAAAAAAAAAACCAGACGCGCTTAGAGAAATCGACATAATAACTTCAGTGCGCCGCGTAGGACACCGGTGACCTACACGATTAATATCATAATTAATATTACAAATATGTATCCAAGCTATGCCTGCCAGTATTTATTTATTTTCTTACCAAGGAGTGTGTCGTTCTCACTACTTTTTGATCCCTCCTCGTAATCATTGTGATTAAATAATTTTAAATTTGAGCAGGCCCTACCTTCGTCGGTTAAAACAGTTTTCTTAGTTTTTGTATTACAGTGCCATCTAGCAATTGAACAGAGAACTACTACACCATTGTGATTTGAAATTTTACGAATTGAGGCAGACCTTGTTTTGATTTTATTAAGGCGGCTATGCATAGCTCAAAAAGATGGCAGATACGGCCCTACGAATCATGATAAAATGGTAAAAATGAACAGCTAAGCGATGAAGTCTGCCAGACAATGTCATATGAATGGTAATTCATATTTATTATTGCCATTCTTTATTTAAAAGTTTAGGAAATAGACTTCTAGTGATACATAATCGTACCATTTTTTTGTTTTGTGAAATCCATAGATACCACATAGATGATTTTAAAACAGATTTTTAAGTCATCCACAATCAATAAAAAAATTTCAATTTAATTTTTTTTATACTTATGATAAAATTTCTCAATGCTTCTCAGGATTCTCAAGCGTGAGCTGCCATCTAGCGAGTAATTATGAAACTCGACCGAAATCTAGCTCTCACAGGTTGCGTTTGTTCCAAAATGCTACCTAATCTTTCTGTAAAATAATTTTTATACATCACTAGCTTTTGCCCGCGACTCCGTCCGCGTGAAATAGTTACCTTGGCATAACGCTAAATTTTACCCCCACTTTATTTACGTAGAAAGTGAAAATGTTTTTGAATTATAGAACGTTAAAGAGCTATTTAAACCCCTATTTTGAAACATTCTCTATTGGTGCTCCACTTGTATTGGTCTTACCGTTATGTTATATAGCTTAAAGCCTTCCTCAATAAATGGGTTATCTAACTCTGAAAGGACCAGTAGTTCCCGAGATTAGCGCGTTCAAAGTAGTTCAAACATACAATCTCTTCAGCTTTATAATATTTTTAGTATAGATGATCTACGTTTTCCAATGTTACTGCTATCTAAATTTAAAAAAAACAATTAAGATTTGGTACATAAACATGTAACTGACAGATGGCTGAATTACTCATCCGATTGAATCAATATTTATTTATCTATTTACTGCTTGGCAGTGAAAATAGGCAGAAAGAAAATATCTGTTAGTTCGGGCTCAAACGTTTTTTCTGCCATCAGTCAGTACACATACTTATTAATTCTGCAGTTTTACACGATGCTTTCGGCTCATCAAAGCCGTTTCTGAATTCAATTCGAGTTATAATCGAGTTTCATATCACAACAGTGCCGAAGAAACTCTCTATTCAATAACTAGATGGCGCTGTGATACAAAAATTATCATAACTTTTCACTAACCAAAGAAGTGCGCGTTTGTTCAAATTTACATATTATTATAGGCACCGTCCTCGTCGAACTCGGCAAGGAGATCGACGTGCAACCTAACCCGTGCATCAGCCCGCCGAGTTTCTCGGCGGATCTTCTCAGCGGGTCGCGATTCCGATCCGGTAGTAGATTCATTCGCGAAGCAGCTGCCCTTGAGCTGTAAGGTCTCTTCCGCAAGCGCTCGGGCAGCTGTTAGCAAATCCCACCTGTCCTGGCTGAGCCCTTGCTCCTACCTGCTCTGGTGAAACTGGAAAGGCCTCCGGGCCACCAATAATCCTTCCTTCCTAATTATGAACTTGACATTACAATAAAACTTATTTAATAGCCTCACTTTGAATGTACGTTAAAACTAGAATTACTGATCCGTGTTCGTTCATATTCTAGTCACGATTTCCTATTTAACTGTTAAGATTATTAAAAGATTCTTGTATTAGAAAGTAATTAAAGATTTTTATCGTTGAGTACGGGATTCTTTGTGGCAATCAGTTTGCTAGGAAATTGCTGGTTCGCGAGACAAAAGGACAGTTGTTTTTTTTTCTACGTATGCTGATAGCCTTGAGAGGCTATTTCAGCTTTGTCCTAACATGTAGGTGAGCTCACGGGGCTCAAGCCGGAGCTGTTGCTAACACTGGCCCTAGCAAGAGCCGTGCTTCGCAGAATCTACGACCGGATCGGAAACGCTACCCATTGAGAAGATCCGGCGAGAAACTCAGTGGGCTGTGTCTATGGATTAATTTACTCGTCGAGCCTTTCGTCGCAAGCGACGGGTTCGGCGATGACGGTGACCGGTGCTTGAGGTAGGTACCTAAAAGCACAGTTGCACAGCAAAGTTGTTTTCTTATTATGCATATAACAGAAAACGCAATTAAGACTCTCATTGTTTATTTATTCTGTACTACCCAATATCATTATATATATTTGTACATAACGCGTTATGTGGGGTCTCATACGAGCGCGTTGTGCGAGAATACTCCGATAACGCGTTTCCTATAACGCGGAACCAAACTACCGTGTATCCGGACGTGTCTAATGAAATTGATATGAACATTCTTAAAAATTTGTATTTTTAATTAAGCTATTAATTATTCAAATGCGTTTGTACAATTGCGGTTTTTCGTTGCGTTCGAAGGCAGGCGAGCGTACCTGACTGATGATGAGGCCCAAATCCCCTCACATCCTGACCACTCGAGTTTAAAAAGGCCACGGTTGTCCGCAAATTTTTTACTGGTGGTAAGACCTCTTGTGAGTTCGCACGGGTAGGTACCACCACCCTGCCGATTTCTGCCGTGAAGCAGTGATGCGTTTCGGTTTGGAAGGTGGAGCAGCCGTTGTAACTATACTGAGACCTTATTCCTCGCCGGATCTTCTCAGTGGGTCGCGTTTCCGAATCAGTGGTAGGCTCTGCTAAGCACTGCTCTGGCTAGGGCCAGTGTTAGCAACACTTCGGTTAAAGACCCGTGAGCTCACCTACACACGTTAGGGTGAAGCTGAAATAGCCTCTCAAGGCTATCAGCATAGGTAGGAAAAAAAACCTGGTGGCAAGACGTCTTGTGAGTCCGCACGGGTAGGTACCACCGCTCTGCTTATTTCTGCCATGAAGCAGTAATGCGTTCCGGTTTGAAGGGTGAGACAGCCGTTGTAATTATACTAAGACCTCAGAACTAATATCTCAAGGTGTGTGGCGTGTTTACGTGGTAGATGTCTATGGGCTCCGGTGATCACTCAACTCCAGGTGGGCTGTAAGCTCGTCCACCTATCTATGTTATAAAAGAAATATAACAAAAACTTATTGAAGTTTGTTTAGTCATTCATTGAAACTCAAAGAACCTATGCCCTCGTTCAGCTATAATTATGCGCATATCCGCTCGGCCTATGGAAATATTTATCAAATTCATAATTCATAATTAATTGACGGAAAATATAATTTATCGCTTACTCATTCAATTTACGTTCACGTCAAAAATACCTTATTAAATTTGTAAGGTTTATTGTTTTATTTTGATCAGAATATCGTATCCAGATTTTTTTTTTGATGACAAGTTTTTTTTTTCTTTTTTCCTACCTATGCTGATAGCCTTGAGAGGCTATTTCAGCTTCACCCTAACGTGTGTAGGTGAGGTCACGGGGCTCAAACCGGAGTTTGCTAACACTGGCCCTAGCAAGAGCCGTGCTTCGCCAAATCTACCACCGGGTCGGAAACGCGATCCACTGAGAAGATCAGGCAAGAAACTCAGTGGGCTGTGTCTGAGGGTTAATTTACTTGCCGAGCCCTTCGTCGCAAGCAACGGGTTTAAGGAGCACGATAACCTGTGCTTGAGGTACCTAAAAGCACCGATATTGGATCTGGAGGATCCGAAATGATGTGTTTAGGGCGACGTCAACTGTTTACCATTTGGTCCGCAAGACCGTGTATGAAAGCGTCTCGCAAACCACTCGACCGTGGAGACAGGGACAGGACTAAGCGAGCTAGGTCGTTTTTCTTATACATAGCGTTCCCTATTACAAGAGTGATTTAATTTAAGGATGAAAAATGAAGAAAATTGCAATAATACACACCGCAAAAGAAGTTTCACTTCTTTCACGTGCCCAATTTTCCTCCGCCCTCCTCTTTTAGTCGGAAAGATTGCCGTGCCAACCGTTACTTACACTTGCAAGTTAAAAAAAAAAGTTCACAAAAGCGATCTGATTAAAGTCATAAACACTATTGGTTTCACAGCCTTATTTAAATTCAATTCAATATTGTAAAAAAAAACGAAAAAAAAATATTTGAAAAAATAGATATTCAACTAAAAATTAAAAATAAATAATAGTTAAAAAATACTATCGTAATACGCTTTTATAGAAAAACCAACTTAAAAATAGAAAATAAATTTTAATAAATTTGAATAAAAAATAGTGTAAGAAAAAAATTATTTTATTGTAAAAAAAGCGTGGATTTTCTATAAAAAGATTTGTTAATTTTTTAAACTATTATTTATTTTTCATTTTGTAGTCGAATTTCAATTTTTTCAATATTTTTTTAAATATTCAATTGTCGTCGGTCCTTTACGGGTTAATCCGACGTTTTGAAGGGGGTCAAAATCATGTTCAAAGATTCCGTTACATACTAACATACATACGTCTGAAGCTAATAAAAGGGTATTAAAAATATTCTCACTTTCTACGTATATGAGGAGGCGTGTAAAATTTAGCGTTGTGCCAAAGTAAATATTCCACGCGGACGTAGTCGCGGGCGGCAGCTATACGCCTATAAAATACACAACTGCACCGTGGACAATGCCTTGAACGATCCGATATACGTCTAATAATTCCATACGATCATTCCGACGCGAATCTCTAAGCGGGTCGCACGTTTTGTGATTGAAATAAGTGAAGTATTTGTGACGATAACTCCTAATTCATATTTTCCGTTCGTATTAAAAAAAAATAAGGGTGAGTTTTATTTTATAAGTTACATTACGGATATAAGGTTCGGTTTATTTAATAGAAAATTTAGCTTAGTGAACACTGAAAGAACACGATTTTAAAGGTATGTCGATGATAAATAAATAAGTTATTGTTTTCGTCCTACCCAAGATACGAAGGTAGCTGTGTTGTTGTGTCATCATCAGTTACTTTTTTTTTTATTGCCCTATTAGGCAAACGAGCATACGGCCCAACTGATGGTGAGTGGTTACCGTCGCCCATGGTCTTCAGCAATGCCAGGGGCAGAGCCGAGCCGCTGCCTGCCGTTATTGATGCGAATCATGAAATTAATCTTACTTGTTGAAGTTAATTACGCTGAAACATTTTGTTATTTAACGAAGAGAGAAAAGCCAATTTCTTTTAAACGACATCTCGCTTAGCACACTACATTTATTTATCTTTGTAGTAATTAAAATACCATTTTATTTGTCATTAGCAGCAACGGTTCGATGTTTTTAATTGAACTTCAATAATGTTTACCACGTTAAAATATCTGAAGAAGTTTTTTTTTTGTTATTATATTTTTTTTCAAATTATCTATATATTAATACGTGAAGCAAAAACTTTGTATCCCTTTTTACGAAAATTGCGCGGACGGAGGAGTATGAAATTTTCCACACTTATAGAGAATATAGAGAAGTGCACAATGCTAATATTTTTTTTTAAATAATGCATAAAAGATACATTATATCAATAAAGAAAACATTACACACACACTACATACCATGTATTTGACGCACACACGCATGCATACTATTTATTGTCATAATTTTGTTCTTGACGTCTGTTGTCAAATTGAGAATAGAATATTGTTTGTCTTTGTTAATATTTTTTATAGTGTAGTCTTGGCGAAATTTGTGATTATAGAAGTATAAAATACAATCATAATAGTGTACAAACTTACAATTCCAATTAATTATAGTCGAATTTCGACTACTGCGGGACCACTAGTAAATTTTGATTGGCTCTCGTGTTGAGTTGCAAAAATTCCGTTTAAATCCTTTCAAATTACGATACATATATAGATGGGGCTTTAACTAGTAAATGCTATTTAAAGTATCTCAATTTTACTGAGAAACTTAAATATCTTGGCATTTTCCTTTCCAAAATTACCCACTTAACGATTACTATTAAATTTGTTTAACCATCACAGAATAAATGAGTAATAGTAATCTATTTTTAAGTAAATATTTCACCGGTGGTAGGACCTCTTGTGCGTCCGCACGGGTAGGTACCACCACCCCGCCTATTTCTGCCGTGAAGTAGTAATGCGGTTCGGTTTGAAGGGCGGAGCAGCTTTTGTAACTATACTAAGACCTTAGAACTCATATCTCAAGGTGGGTGGTGCATTTACGTTGTGGATGTCTATGGGCTCCGGTAACCACTTAACATCAGGTGGGCCGTGAGCTCGTCCACCCATCTGAGCAATAAAAATAAAAAAACATGTAGATTTCTACCGATTATATTGTTTTTACTTTAAAGTTATTAACTAATCGTCCTTACATATCGTCTAGAGGTCGAATCCAAAATAAAATTGAAGCTACAAATATGCTACAAAATTGAATACATTCATTAATAAAAAAAACCTCTTAATTTTTTTTTCTTTTTTATATTGCTTAGATTGGTTAAATGATCTAATGTCTGAAAGAGATAAATAAAAAAAAAATGTAATTATAGTAATTAAACATAAATAGTAGTATCATAGCAAACGGTAGGCAGCGGCTGGGCTCTGCCACTGACATTGCTGTAGTCCATGAGGGACGGTGACCACTCACCATCAGGTGGGCCGTATGCTCGTCTAATAGCATGCATAAACAGCGCCCCTAACGGCAAACGTAGGCAAACATTTCAACTCCATACAAATTTGAGTTAACTTTTACGCTATCGCGAACGTTAAACAACTCGCGCTAAGTAAACTGTTTTTTTAATTATTGAGCTCACAGTCCACCTTTGTGTTAAGTGATTACTGGAGCCCATAAACATCTATAACATAAATGCCAGCCGCCTTGAGATATAAGTTGTAAGGTCTCAGTATAGTTACAACGGCGGCCCCGCCCTTCAAACCGAAACGCATTACTGCTCGTCAGTATTGTAAGTTCTAGAAGCAAATGATTAGTCGAATAGTTAATTGAAGGACGGTGATTAGTGACGTGTTCTGGTTTCAAATAAAACGAACTTGTCATTTAGGGCATGTGATTAGTTAAAATATCCAAACGGTCTGACGTGACGATAGTGATGTCATTTCGAGTTTCATTTATTTATTACAATCCACGTATCTACACTAGAGGTCCCGCAGTAGTCGAAATTCGACTATAATTAATTGGAATTGTAAGTTTGTACATTATTATGATTATATTTTATACTTCTATAATCACAAATTTCGCCAAGACTACACTATAAAAAATATTAACAAAGACAAACAATATTTAATCTATTCACAATTTGACCACAGACGTCAAGAACAAAAGTTTGACAATAAATAGTATGCATGCGTGTGTGCGTCAAATACATGGTATGTAGTGTGTGTAATGTTTTCTTTATTGATTTAATGTATCTTTTATGCATTATTTAAAAAAAATATTAGCATTGTGCACTTCTTCTCTATATTCTCTATAAGTGTGGAAAATTTCATACTCCTCCGTACGCGCAATTTTCGTAAAAAGGGATACAAAGTTTTTGCTTCACGTATTAATATACAGATTGGCGGACAAGTTGCATAATAAATTAGAGTATTAGTTTTTTACTAATGGTCGGACCTCTTGTGAGTCCGCGTGGATGGGTACCACCACCCTGCGTATTTCTGCCGTGAAGCAGTAATGCGTTTCGGTTTGAAGGTTGGGGCAGCCGTAGTAACTATACTTGAGACCTTAGAACTTGTATCTCGGGGTGGGTGGCGCATTTACGTTGTGGATGTCTATGGGCTCCAGTAACCACTTAACACCAGGTGGGCTGTGAGCTCGTCCACCCATCTGAGCAATAAAAAAAATTAAAGAAAAAGGTACATTCAGATATAAATTCAACGCTCAAACAAAAAAAAATATATATTTTAATACCATCATCTCGTTTTTACCATCGCACCGTCCGCCACCGGAGTAGAGTTCATCCATACCACATGGAGCCACTGCGTTCATCCACAGTGCGCTTCCAGAGGTCTTTTCTGCCACGTACTATCCGGCTTTGGAATGAGCTCCCCTCCACGGTGTTTCCCGAGCGCTATGACATGCCCTTCTTCTAACGAGGCTTGTGTGCTCTGCCCCTGGCATTGCTGAAGTCCATGGGCGACGGTAACCACTCACCATCAGGTGGGCCGTATGCTTGTCTGCCTACACGGGCAATAAAAAAAATATGTACACAAAAATACAAAGACATGTATGATTGGTCAGAACGGAACGTATAAAAATAGCGGCAAGGAGCTAGCGTTCCTTTGAATTGACTGAGAGGAAACGGTAAGAAAGGGAAAAGAGAATGACAGAGAAAAGGAAGATGGCGATTGAATGAGCAAGCCGTAAAATGTGTCAGTAGATTTTTAATAAGAAGATTTTAGAAAAGAAGTTTATACAGTGGAATAGTTTTATTTTTTTGCGCCACAATCCTAATTTTACATACATAGTATTCGTAAATGTAAATAATTATATGGCATTGGCTCGGTATTGGCAAGCTGGTGAGCGTCTTTACCAGATCAGACCAGAGGATAGGTGAGTGTCCGCGTGATCTTCTCCCGTCATCCTGACCAAATACCATCAGCTTCTCTAAGCTATCTGGAGCCTCTACGAGCGATGTGGCCGAAATACGCGAGAATACGTTGGAAGCTAATAGCGGACAAACTTTTACTGATACCGAGCTCCTTCAGAATAATAATATTACGCCGGTAAGAGTAACGTCATCTTTCGCCGAATAGTCGAACTAGAACGCTCGAGAAGTACAACGCCATCTTTTGTCAGATGGCGGAAACACAATACTCGACTTGTGTGGAATATTCTCGATAATTTTAGGGATGCGGTATCAGCTGTAAAAGCGTTGCAGAGATGGCACGCAGTTAATAAGTAATCATAACTACTCTGAACTAACTGAAGCGAAGCGGAAGAAGCGAATTGAGAATTTTAAAGTGTTTCTGAAATGTTTAAAGGGTTGAATACAGTTTTAAGTTGTACTTTGGTAGAACATTTTATTTATCCCGAACCCCAGCGCGTAGCAATTACAAAACCTCAACTCCATAAAAATTCGAGTTAACTTTTACGCGATCGAGAACGTTAATGAACTCGCGCTTTTTTTTTTGCCTATGCTATGATATCCTTTAGAGGCTATTTCAGCTTCGGCCTAACGTGTGTAGGTGAGCTCACGGGGCTCAAACCGGAGTGGCAAAACACTGGCCCTAGCAAGAGTAGTGCTTCGCAGAATCTACCACCGGATCGGAAACGTAACCCACTGAGAAGATCCGGCGAGAAACTCAGTGGGCTGCAAAAGGTTTCCCGTATCGGGAATCGAGCCCGAGCCTCCTGGGTGAAAGCCAGGTATCCTAGCCACTAGACCATACGGGACTATGCGCGCTAATAAACACACAGAGCACTCTCGCTACAAGCAAATTGCGTCAATGCGTAACGAAACGAATCCATTGACTTGCGAAAACCTTTATAGAAACAATTGCTTTATTGATACGCAATTCACATGAGAATTATTTATTGTATTACACAGAGCTGTGTTTTAAGACAAACTGTATAGCAATTTTTTTTATTGCCTAGACGGGTGAACGAGCTCACAGCCGACCTGGTGTTAAGTGGTTTCTGGAGCCCATAGACAGCTACGACGTAAATGCGCCACACACCTTGAGATATAAGTTCTAAGGTCTCAAGTATAGTTACAGCGGCTGCCCCACCCTTCAAACCGAAACGCATTACGGCTTCACGGCAGAAATAGACAGAGTGGTGGTACCCACCCGCGCGGACTCACAAGAAGTCCTACCATCCATC